AATGAGATATACTAAATGCATGGAAAAATCCTTCTTTGAGATTTTTTTTTAATAATTATAAATCTTAAAAAAAATAATAGTTAGTATATCGATTGGATAAACTAAAGATAGTTTAAGAATTTTCTACGTGAAAATATTAATATAAGTATATTGATGTCGCGTATTGATGTCGTGTATTGATAGAATTGTAAATTCTTATGTTCAAAAAATATGATCCATCGTATACTCGAGTTATAATTATCGGAAATGAAAAATTTTTAAAAATTTCGAAATTATATGAGTGTAACTTTAGTTAAACGTACAGATTTTTTTTAAATAATTATTTTTTAAATTGTGGCGCACATTGAAAAAAACTTTAAAATTTCATTACATTTTGACATTTTTAAATATCTTGTTGTAAGAATCTCACCTAAGAATTACAAAAAGATCTGTACATTTAACTAAAACTATTCATTTTTTAAAATTACTCTTGAAATTTCAAGTCAATTAGGCGAAAATTAGCTTAATCTAAATTTTACAGACGCTGCCAATTGAAAATAAGTGATTTCGGAGAAAACACGTTTAGTTTCAATATCGATTATTTATCAGCATTTATCTAGCTTATCATAATTAATTATTGGCGAAACACAATAGACTAGGCATAATAGAGGGAATTTCTAAACATATGGAACTGGAAGGCTTAAATTAAAGTAAAAGTTATTTTAGGATAACCGATTAGAAACGTACGCTTTCACCTTGCTAGCTTGTATAACTCGAGAAATATTTTGAATTTCATTAAAATCTTTTAGGAGCATCCTTTGAGATATCGAATTTTCGAAAAAAAAAATCAGTTTTTTGAAAATGTTACTGTAGCGTATTAATATTAAGTTAATATAAACAATTAGATAAGATAAAAATTATAGTTTTAAAAACTGTTTTTAATATAAACAAATTTAACACTTTATTCACGGATAAATTAAAAATCTCTAAAACTGTCGATAAAATATTTTTAAAATCATAATTTATATTATAGTGTTATTTTATAAAATGTAGATTGAACTTTGTTTATGTAGCACTATCAATATTAGGCAATAAGATCATACTTATCAGAATCAACTATCCGAATTTATGTAAGATATTAATATTTGAAATAAAAAAAATATGTTACTATATGTAAAAGTACAAAAAATTTATAAAAAATAAAAATATTTATTTATTTGCTCTCTGATTTGACATATGTATATAAAATACTTATATTTAAATTGAAGATTTTTTTAAATAGTTTTTTATTAACTTTTTCTATTATTTTCTCATATCTATTAATTATATTTCAATGCATATATATATATTTGTTAATACAGTAATTTATTCTTATAACAACACATTATAATGTTTTATTAGAAAGATAATTATTCACGTCATGATTATTATCAAATACAACTTTTGCATATTTTATTTATGGTTCTTTATAAATTCTTCTTAAATTTTTCTTATAAAAAAATCCTTTTAAAAATCCTTTAAAAAAGAATTTATTTTTTATTAATTTTTTATTTTTTATTAATTTTTTATTATTTATTATTAGTTTTTATGCTAATAAGTTTTAATTAAAAATATAAAATGCAAAGTGAGTAGAAAAATTTTTTTTATATATCTAAAAATTTTTAAATGCATATATTGATGTGTCGAAACAAAATAATAAATTTACGTTTAATTCTCGTAAAAATCTAGCTCATTAAAAAGAACTGCAAAATGGACTGCAAAGAAATATGTATTTAATTTATGCGTATGCAACGTAATGGTAATGGCGAAATGATTAATCAAGTATGATACTTTTTGATGGACATTTTTTTGTTAGTTGCACCAACGACTGGTTGCATCAGACGCCGATCGCAATTGAATGGAGATGATGATGGACATTATTGCGTCTGCAATGCGGTGTATTGCGATAGAGCACCGAACGCAGTCAAGTCAAACAATCCGGCCAAATATGTTTTAATAACATCGAGCAAAAGTGGCTTACGATTCCGTAAATTGAGCGGCGAATATAGCAATACTAAAGAGACCGTAAATGACCGTAAGTATAAAAGTCCCTTTTTTAATTCAGAATCATAAAAGAAATATGGTATACGCAAATAGGTTCCAGATAGTCTAGTCTCAGACAAGCATTGTCAAAATTTTACGATGTAATTGATATATTTCGTAAAACTAATAAAACTTCTAAAAAACCAGCTTTATCGAGAAAGATTATTATAAACCAAACGGATGTATACCAAGAAATTTATGGATTTGGTGGGTCTGTGACCGATGCAGCAGCCATAAATATTCAAAATCTTACGCATGAAACGTCTGAATATTTATTAAGGTATAATGAATCACAGATGGTTGAATTTCAAAAAAGTTTCACTTCAGCGACTGACTGAAATGATTGAAATATCTAAGAAACTCGTAACAATTTCGGTAGAAAGTTAATTTCGCATTCTGTTTACAAATTTTAGAAGCTACTTTGGTCCGGAAAGTATCGATTACAGTTTTATTAGAACGCCGATGGGTGGCTCGGATTTTTCAATAAGACCTTACACCTACGCAGATGCAGTAGCAAACGACACTTCACTTCATTACTTTAACTTGCAAACGGAAGATTATCTTCACAAGGTTAGGTTTAATCACTTACCAATGAATATTCTGACGGTTTACTTATTTAACAAAACAAGCTGAATGTACACAAAAAAATATGTACGTGTTTAAGAATTAATTAGCGGAAATGAATTAACGTAACTAGCGGTTGCACAATGGAAGATGTATACATTAAATGTTTTGTCAATAGATACCGACAATAAAACGAGCTATGGAGTTGAGAAAGGAGAAAATTAAATTGTTAACTGCGCCATGGTCGGCCCCTCTTTGGATGAAAACTAATCCCTCTTGGACGCATAATTCTAAATTACGTCCGGAATATCGACAGCTGTGGGCAAATTATTTTGTGAAGTAAGACATCATTACAATATTTTTCAACATTATTGCAATATATTATTATTTTTTTTTTTTTTTTTTTTTACTTCTTTCTCAATAGCTGATCAAATTTTTGATCAATGTCACACTGCATAATTTTTAAACTGGTAAAACAAATCCATAATCGAACTTAAAAAAAAAATTCACCGAGATGTTTAAAATATACATATATTATATTCATACAAATAATCATTTTATTTTCATAGATTCTTTGAAGCTTATCGTCAGAACGGTTTAGAATTTTGGGGTACAACGCTCCAGAATGAACCAGAAAGTTATAAATATATTCCGTTAAGTATTAATCTCAACGCGATGGCATGGACAGCCGAGGAAGAGCGTGATTGGGTTATCAAGTATTTAGCTCCAACTTTGGAAAAAAATGGTTTCGAGCACATCAAGATATTCTCATTGGATGATAACAGATTATCGCTTCCGCATTGGCCAAAAACAGTATTCCAAGATGAGAGAGCAAGAGATATTATTTCTGGAGTTGCGATACATTATTATTATGATGATACAATCAACGCAAATGTATTGAACGAAGTGAAGCAACTTTTTCCAGAGAAATCATTAATATACACGGAAGCTTGCACTGGAGTGCAAGTTGATGCGGGTTGGTGAAGAATTGTACAGTTATTCAATAATTGTATTATTATTTTTATTATATTAAATTTTTTTCATATCCTTCGGTAATTGCGGGTAACTAGTAGTTTAAACAAAAATGATAAACGAAACATTTTTGGTTCTAATATCTAATCTAAAATAAATAAATAAGTTTTATTTGATTAAATTAATTAGATAACTGTAATTAGAATTCAATACCAATATTCGATGTCTAAAGCACGATTGTACGTGCAATAAATTGACAATATTGTATTGATATCGAATTATATAATTATATAATTCGTATTAATTAAAATTTTATTCTACACATTTTCTTACACATTTTTTTGCAGTATATTATAAATGTGTGTTTTTCTTGGCAAATCTACTAAAGCCCTCACTCAGTATTATTTGTAATATCAGGATCAAAAAAAAAGTTCTACATGCGGATTTATATTAATCGAATAAAGGTCAAAATATAATAATTTTTACGAGATAAATATAATAATAATATTGTGAATCATAGTGTACTCTACATGTATCTTTTTTAATATATAATAAATAATTATATACAGACAAAAGAGTAATTCTGGGCTCATGGAAACGCGGTGAGGTGTACGCGTCGAATATTATCGAGAATTTGTCGCACTGGGTATCCACTTGGATAGATTGGAATATAGCTTTAAACATAACTGGTGGTCCTGCCTGGATTGATAATCGTGTTGATTCCCCGATAATAATCAACCATACTGCCAACGAATTCTACAAGCAACCAATGTTCTACGCTCTTGGACACTTTTCAAAGTTCGTGCACCAGTTCTTTTGTACTTCAATCGAAATACGAATATTGAGCATTAATACGTAGCATTAATAACACATATTGAAATAACGCAAAGTTTAAATTTAATTTAATAATTCCTAGAAGAATTACATTTAATTTCTGTCTAGAGCGAAATTTTTAGAAATATCGATATTTTTATTAACTAAATGTTTTCCTTGAATAGGTACGTTCCACCTAAAAGCGTAAGGATTGGTACAATATCGGAAAATACCGAGGGAATTCAAAATATTGCATTTTCTACCCCTGATGGTGCCACCGTGTTGGTGATATTAAATTTGTGAGTCTCCTTGCATAATATTTTAATAATAAGTATATACACTCGCAAATTAATATATTGCGCAATCTCTCAGAAAAGTCTTGTATATTTACTGAACTTTTGTTTCTTTCAGGAATGAAGATGAAAAAGAAATTTTGATCGATGACCCGAAGAAAGGAACAACAACGATCAATGTTCTCGGAAAGTCTATAAACACTATGAAATATTGGTAGATATGTAGTGGGATTATAAATTAGCTATATAAGTTGAGATATATATCGATACATACACAGAAAAGAAGTTAGTTTTTAAGTCAAGACTATATATTCTCTTACATAAGCGAGCAATTGTAATCTTCTTAGAAAAATTTTATTCCCGATTTCATTCAATTTACATTAATACAAGTATAAATGTATACAAACAAAAATATTATAATTTTCATAGAAGATTTTTAGTCTTAAGTTGAGCAAAAGTAAAAAATTTGCATCATAACGAATTCAACTTACGACTACAAATTTTAAAAAGATTATAATAATATTCTTACTTATATTTAATATTCTTACTTATGAGAATATTTGTCTTAAGACAAATATTTTTTACTTGATCGAGACTAATCTTCTTTTATGTATCGCGACACCGTAAAATGCGAATATGTACTATTTTAACTTAAATTTTGGCAACGATTAGAATATATTTCATTGAAGTATGTATACAATTTTATCTAAATATGTATACAGTATTAAGTATGTATACAAGTTTATCTGCTTTATCTTAATCTGCTTCAAGTCGAGGATACTAGGAAGAATCATTAAGTCATAAATTCTTGAACACTTTCTTGGCTTTCCTTGCGGTACAATCCCGCTGATAGTATAAATATGTAATGATACAAATTGTCCTCTCTTTAAGTAGGATTTCTATTTGAATTGTAACTCCCTCGGCTGCGTCCTATTTGCATCCGGTTACGTTGTTAGTTCGTCGGTTCGCAATTACTCTAAACTTCTAAACTTCCATAACTCGGGTCACTCTCCATTAAAACTCTTACTGAGAATTCTTACCTTCCGGGCAAGAATTCGTCGGATTTGATGAGCGCCGCAGAAACCGGCTTGCTCAAACGGCTTTCTCAATCTTGCTGAATGTTTAAAATATCTTTCCGTGTTTAATCCGCTGACTACGATTTTAATATATAATAAAGAACTGCTTTAAATTTTATGGTACTGGATTCGTCGAAAATCCTAATTATTATCGTCATTATTCTCGTTATCCTAATTATTAAAGTTATTCAAATTATTCTTAAATTTCTTAATCAATCATTACAATGTAAATTAAACTTATTATATCACTATGTATATAAGTATTATATTATAATTGTAAACAGCAAAAATAAAAAAAAAAAACTAACGCAACGTAAAGAATAAGCGATCTTAATATACTTAAATGAAACTTGATATTTGATTGTAATCATAAGCAATAATGAAAGAGACACAATTGGACGTATAATAAATCTTTGATACATGTAAAAATAACAATAGGTATAAAAAAAGAATTATATTTAATGTACTTTATACAAAGGTAGACCGGAACTTTTGATTCGTTTGCACTTACCACTGTTATCTATTCATTTATTTTATTTATTTTTTTATTTTTTTTTTTTTTTTATTACT